AAAGCCAGCAGGCAGTTCCCTCAGCCAGGTAGGGTCCATTGAGCAGAACATGTTCTTGTGCTTAGCTGATATTCATTCCCTTTTCAGAGGCCCAGCTTGGAATACATTTTAATACATTCCGTCTAGCAAACTTCAGCAAGTGACACATCTCTTCCTGGTTCTGCGTCAAACTACTCTTTCAGTCACCTCAGTCTCCTCTGCAGCCCACCATAGAGGATAGCATAGAGTGACCGCCAAGACAGCCAATTTGAGTGATCAGAAAAATGAAAATGGCCTGAACTGGCCACTAGCATGCTTTTATTATTTTGTAAAAATTGCTTTTCCTGCACATGAATTGCTTTAATTTTTTCAGCTGGAATTTTCCATCCTTACCATACTTATGGAGGCTTCCCACAATTCAATGAAAGATATGGACCATCTAAGCTGGAAGGCTGTGCTGAGTAAATTATACCAGAGGGAAAGAAAGTTTTAAGGTCTTTGAAGGTTTTGTTTTGAGCTGCTGTCAGTACAGACAGCCATTATATTCTCACTTCAGTTAATCCAATTAGGACTCAGGATGGGTAATGTGTACAGACAGTGTAGCAGAACTCCACAAAAACTTTGGCCCCCTTCACATTTGAAGGCACCCGGCTCTGTTGTTTTGTATCCTTTTTGTTACAACAGATTAGTCTCAGTGCTTTTTGCTTCATGCAGTGTGTGTTTGAGAGAGAGACATTTGACTTGAATGCACTTATGCCTTTTTCACACTGAAACGGATTGGCGTGCAAGGCTTCTAAAGTCTTTCAGCTTTAATCTTCTGCTCTGTGTGCAGCTGAATAAATGAGTTACTTTTTTTTACCTGTGCATCCAAGAGCATAGACTGCCCCATCAATCCCCTTTCACATCTGCCAGATGACTTCACCCCACTTCCAAATGTGCGAGATCACTGCACTTCTGCATCCATGGGACCCTGTGTCCAGGAGTATAGACATCCCATCGCTCCATGGTTTGTACCTCTATGAGTATTTACTCATGCAGAAACAGACACAATGTTATGTTTATTGTAATATCTTTATTATATACACAAATGGGGGTGGTGTAGCATGGTCTCTGGTCTCACACCTGATGTGGGTTTGAGTCCCCCCTGAAGACACTGCTGTTGCACTTTGAGAGAGGTACATAACCCCAGTTCACCCAGCTGTGTAAGTATTGCTGGAGGTAGGCTCTGCAATGGACTGATGTCCAGGAGAGGTGGGGGTGGGGGAGTCACATGCTCTCTAGGCCACCTAACACCACTTAATATCGGCCACACTGGTTCATGAGCTCTGGCCCGATGAGCTTATATGACTTGGATATGGAAATGACCTTACAGCACCTACCTACTTTCCCAAATAGTGCATATGAAGTAAAGAAATACAATTATGTCTTATCTTGGTCCTTGTTCTTGAAATGATGACAACAGGCATCTGTCTCTGCTCTGTTTGTCTGATCTCTGCTAGCTGGAGAAAGCTGAAAACTATTCAACTTGAACACACAAACAGCACGGGTGTCTCGAGAGCACAGAACTGCACGGGCTTAAAGAGCACATCTCTTTGTTTTTCTCCAGATGACACATCTAGAATTCAAAAGGAGGATGAGTTAATGAGTTTCAGATTCAGAGGTAAATTAAATCATTTTCATCCATAGAAGTTCTGTCCTGCATTGTCTGATTAAACACTTTGTTTTTGATCGTTCCTATAGAAGACAGTTATTTTAATTATGGTTGGGATATCATGAAGTCAAAAAATAATTTTTGATAACAAACCTAATTATGCCATTAATATTGTGGTCAAAGTCTCTGCTGATTAAAATTTGCTCTTTGTAATGTAATATTGCATTTTGCAAATTGTGCTGGGACTGTATGAATAATTCAAGAACTATTCTAATTCACGAGCTGCTCTGATGCATGCAAAATATTTTTAATCATATTATAACTAGTTCATTAAGGATCTAAAGAATGTCCATCTAAATAATTTTTTTAAATTTTCTTCTTTCAAAGAGATGTCCTCTTTTGTGCCACATGTAGTAAGTAGTGATCAGATTTTAGCATCATGCATCTATATTCTAACCACTTCTTTTAGTTCAGATGCCAAGGTGGAGCCTGAGTCTATCCTGGTATCCTGGCAAGCAGCTAGAACATGGCAGGATATACCCTGCATGGGAGACACAAACACAGATACACACACACTCACACCAGGGCCAATTTTCCCAGGCAAATAACCTACCAGTAGGTCTTTGCACTGTGGGAGGAACCCACACAAGTACAAGGAGAATACACAAACTGCATGCAGACATCGCTCCAGGTTTGGAACTGAGTCCAGGGCCCCAGCAGTACAAGGGCCAATGCTAACCACTGCTAACCACAGCTCCACCTCATGTCATGGAAATCTTTTATTGTATTGTGCATGTATTAAGAGCCTTTCAGCTGCTTGAGAATAACGTAGAATACAAACGAAAAAGCAGCCAGGGCAGGAGTAACATATTCTTTTATTTTAGGAAGAATGCTAACAACCTCTTTCTGGTAGCATTATGAGCTCACAACTAGTTGTTGAATGTATTGTGTTTTGAAAAGCTCCTCTTCAGGTACTCCTTACATGCTTATGCAAATTGTACTTAAGATTTTTACATTTTATTTTTGTCGTCACTTAAAAAAGATATTTTTGCATCTGAATAGTTTAATAAAAACAAGCTCCTTGTGGCAAACCAGAACCTTTTATATGATATTAGGCTTCAGTGTCTATGAAATTCTTAATATCACATTGAAAGGAAAATGAGCATGGTTTAATTATTTACTCATTTTAGCTTCTTGCTGTTCTTTCTAGTCTCATTACAAAAGATCATTATCTAGTGTGTAGCTTTTCTGACACTCCTGCTGAACCAGGAGCAGAATCCAGAGATGTAATTTCCTCTGTGGCATCTCTAGGCCTGGAAAAAAAATGAAAGATGCCCTGATATTCTCGGAGACTTTGACACAGCAGTGCTGTAGGCAGAAATGAGCCCTAGATCAGTTTTAATGTGATGCCACATTCCGCTTCTCAATTGTGAATTGCATTAACTCATTTAATGATTTTGGAATTGTGCCCTTTCTAAGGTGAACACAAACCACATTAAATCACGGCAGCCAAACAAGACAGGATTTCCACTGTTTCACTGCAAAGAGACACTGGAAAAGTCTGGACTAATTTATAACAATTTTCTGTCAGCCACATCAATCTTGATACTATACTACACCACGAACCCTTTCACACAAAATGGAAACGGTAGTGGTGAGCTCCACACACCCAACTGAAAGACTGTGGGTTCAAATCCCAGGTATACTCTAGTTGTACTCTTGAGCAAGGTAAACAGGTAGAATCCAGACCAGAGCCACACAGCTCACGGGGCCAGAGGTCATCCTGGTTTCTGTAGCGTTCCAAGGATGAGAGAGAACTTCTGTCAGGGAGGACCGGAGTAACTGGTGTTACATCATGCCCCTGGAGAACTCACCACCCTTAATCAACTCCTTCAAACTCCAGTGCAGTTTCCCATGAACTAATCAGACACACCTTCTTCCATCTGCCTATTTAAACCAACCTGACACACTACTCCTTGCTCAGTATTGGGTTTTACCTAGCTAGAGCTGCATTGTATCTTGTTCTCTGTTTTGCAAGATTTCTAGGTTTTTGGCACTGACCTCTGGCTTTGTCTCTGACTTCGTCTTCTGGATCTTGACTTGGTTATTGTGGATTTACTGTTTTTTTTACCCTGGCCTGACCTCCTGACCCATGATTTTGGAGAAACTCCTGCTGGTACTTTTGAGTTCAGAGGATTCTGCTTCTTCTGCACCGTAACAACTGGGGTACAGTGCCTCAGTCAAGGGTACCACAGCAGTGTCTGTAGCAGGGACTCAAACCCACAACCTGTCAGCATAGATTCTCGTCTGCCCTTAAGCACAGTACAATGCGTTCCCCCAGATAACATGAATAAATGCCCCGCTGTATGAATGGGTCAATGAGAATTTGTTCTGACACTGTCCTACCTGGGAATATAAAGGAATGAGTGATCCATGAAAGTGTGCCCAGGTGTATAAACATACAGCACCCAGACAGAGCTGTGGGACTGTCAGTGACCTCATACTGGAATGGGGCTGTGGCCCATCTGGAGGTGCAGACATGTTTCTTGTCCAGCAGTGTCTGTAACCACAATGCTCCTACTGGTTCTGCTTCATGGAAACAGACAGCTGTCCTTACCCACCCCTCATTCACAGAAGGGAGCCTAGCAAGGAAGCCCATGCTGAAATGCTCAAATGCTGAAACCCTAGTTCTTCTCTATCATTCTGTTCATTTAAGGATGACATAAATATGGGAATCAGTCATGCAAATTGTTGATAAAGATTCTATAGAAATGTACATACTGTAGTACTTCCTTTTGAAGACTCATGCATAAGCACTGGCTGAATCACTGTCTAACACTGTAGCTCAATGAAGTCCAGGCACTTTCTCCATCTAAGGCCATAGGACTATATTCTTCTCTGCCAGTCTCTGGGGTGGGGGTCCTGGACTCAGCTGCTGCAGCCACATACACCATGTGACAGGCAGGCAGGCAAATCTATGAGCATATTGTGGTGGACCCTGGGTTTGGTTTCAAGTGTGTTTTATGTGTGGTGTCTGCATGTTGTTTGGATGGGTTTTCTCCTATAGTCCAAACACACGCTGTCCAGGTTAACTGGTGTCTCTGTGATTGTCCTCTGTATGTGTGTGTCCTCTCTCTCTCTCTGTGTGATAATGACCTGAGTCTATCATTGTCTTAATTTGATCATTTTAACAGATCTTTAAGCTATTTAATGATGTTGATTTTAATTAGACAATAAGACCTCTGGACAAACCGGGCCTCCAGCACTGGAACGGGAGACCTTTGTTCTGAGGATGATTAAACGGTTTCTGATGATACCGGATAAATACACGTAATAGAAACAGCGGAACTATTGTTTAAGTGTCGCGTGTGGTGGTCGGACGATTTTACCAGAGGGATCAGAAACGGCACTTCCGTCTCTGGTAGTGGTGTTTTCTAGAGTTTAAAGCTGTGAAATTTCCAGAAAATCCATATCCTAATCACCTATTTTTTTTTTCGGGAGTTGTTTCTAACCGACATAGTGATCTGCGGCTTGAGCAGCGGACAGACCTGTGCTTGTGGTCGGTGTTTAGTAATGGTGTAATCCGGAACGCTTTCTTCAGAGACAGCAGGTAAACAGAAAAAAAAAAACAAGGAAGGCGTTAAAACGCTTTCGCGAAAGCCAGTTTGAACCGAACAGAAGAATTGTGAATGTGTTCCGCGATGAGGTTCGCTAAATGTCCCTCTGGTGGATTCCGTTTAAAATGTTTGAATCAATAGTTTTTTTTTTTGTTGTTGGTGTAAAGGCATTCTCTGGATGTTCTCGTTTGTTGTATCGGTATTTACTGGAAGTGAGCTGTTTGGAATGTAGTGATATGACCGGCATCTTCTGTTTTTTACAATTTCTGTCTTGACAGCTGTATTGTAGTGTGACCCGAAGGACATGGGTGTCACTGTCCTTTTGAAAACGTTGATATATTCTTAGGAACTGGGAAGCTGATTAAGTATTTGTTGTGATTCCTTCCGCAATGGACTGGATGATACCGTATTGTGGATTGTTTGCACTGACATCCCGGTACAAGCAATTCCTGAAGTTTGATGTGAAATGAATATTAACAAATGAAGTGTAATTTCGAATAATGAGGTGTCTATGGATTTAGTTAGAATCGTGAATGCTCTTTTTTCCTTAGCGAGTCAAAACGCATTATCACGCGGATTTAAAGTCCTTGTTATATTTTATAAGCTAGTGAATTCTAATAAGTAATAATACATGTTTTATTTAACCTGGAGGTGTATGAGAGTTAAATTGTAGGCTCTTATTCAAGAGGCCTAGTCACTGCTTCCTTCAAGGTGTTTTTTCCCCAGATTGCTGGCACTGCTCCAGAATGTGGTGTTAGTTTTATGGAATGAAAGGGTTAGTATTTTCTAAGCAGTCCGTGGTTTATAGATAACCTGCAAAACTAGCAGAATTGTGGCTATCTTGCTACCTACAGCAGTGTGCCACTACATACAGATGTATGAGTTCTCCTAACTGCTGCAATGCAGGCTCTGGTATACTGTGGATTTCAGGAATTCTGCAAGATAGGGGCTCAGTGCAGGATTGCTCTTGTCTGCATAGAGGGACTGCAGAACCGCTGTGTACGGGTTTCTCTGGGAGCCTTTTTAGAGGTACACCAGTGCCTTTTTAATTGACTGTTCAAGTGACCATAATAAAAATGTTATAACTCAAAGGATTATACTTCAGGTTGTTTCTTCTAGATTTAAATCTATACTAAACACATATGTTGAGTAATCAGATTTTTATCATCTGTAATTAAGATAAATCTTACTATTGTGCAGTTCTACATATGTGCTGCTACATTTATCTTTTTTTTAACTTTATTCTATCTTGGCTCTTCAGATTGTCTTCTCTGTATTGGACATTTCTGGCCTAAAGTGAAATTCTGGGACAGGGTTAATGGGGAGGGGTTGCAGAGTCCTCACTAGCTCTAGGGAAATTCTCTGGTTTGAGAACCAGTACAGTGAATTTGTCAGTATTTCACAGATCATGATATAGATGGAGTTATAAAAACCACAGTCTTTCATGTTCGTAAGTGACTCTAACAATGAAGGGATAATGCTGTGAACAATGAACTTTCTTATAAAAGAGTTATCAGTTTTTGCATAAATTATTCAGTGATATTTTCCCATGATAGTAAATTTAACCCACAATACATTTTCAGACATCACCTTTTTAAAGAGGCCTTCTTGGTTTTCAGGCCTGGTTGTCCTGCAGTATGAAGAAGAAAAATAAAAACTGAAAAACGGATTATGGCTCAACTTGCCACGTTTGGAGTGGAAGGAAGAAATACCATAGCAAATGTCAATCACAGATCGGAATCACAGCAGAATCATTTTCTGGTGTGGAGGTGATGTCTGGGGATTCGGAACTTTAATGGGGTGCTGTTCTATTACCCATGAGCCAGGCACTTTGCTCAGATTTTCAGTAAAATGCTGCACTGGATAATTAGGTCCAAATTTAAGATTTTGTAGCTAAAACTGTCTTCCAAGTAAATGAATAATACCTACCCCTGGGAGGCTTTGTCCCAGTCCTGTAGTTTACAAGGGGGCTGGGCTGTTTGTGACAGCTGTTGGAAACGGAGTGGGGGAGGGGCACACCTTTGGCTCAGACATGTATAGGAATCACTGTGACATGTGATACAGGGCATCTCATGAAGCAGGAAAGAGCACCGGGGGAGAGCAGTGTGCTGCAGGACGTTCAAACAGCGCTGCTGAGGGCAGCGCTTTGCCCAGGGAAGCCCAGTCTGTCCCTGGTTGCTGTACAAATGGCCTTTTCTAACTATGTTAACTATATTTTCTTCGTGCCAGAGTCTGTGTGGATGTGTTTACGCATTAAAGAAATAGAAGAGCTGCTTTCAGATACTCCATCTAAAATGGATCTCTTATCCCATGACTTTTAAAGTTTCCACCACACTATGTAAGAGTGTTAGTGTGGGGAAGGGACAAAGGAGAGAGGACAGAGGAGGTCAAAGAACTGGTTTATTTGATCTGTATTTCCTGTTATTTCACAGAGTGGCTCTCTGCTGTATTGAGCCGTACAGATGCTCATTGACCACCCCAGCAGACATGGCTATTGACAAGACTTCTCAGAAGTCTCTTACAGGCAGTACCTAGAAGAACAAGTTCTCAGTACACGACTTTATTTACTTTGTCAGCAAGGCACTAGAATGCAAAATCGTTTGATTCCAGTCAATTCATAACTTTTGTGATGATAATTAATTATAATAATACATAACCAGTTTTTATGTGTTCCACTTTTAGACATTGGAGAGAAAACGTGCACCCTCTGGCCTCCTTTGTTTGGGATGCTGTATCAGGGCATTAGGAAACGTAGTTATCGGGAAATATAACAGACTGCTTCGTATTGCAGTCCAGAGCATTTCCCATATATTGGAACAATTAAATTATAAAGAAGGACCAGCCAAAAACTGTTATTCAGTTAATGAACTGTTCTGCTGTTATTTATTGATTGGGAATTGGCACCCCACATTCATTAATAGAGTGGAACGGAGTTTAGCCTGAGTTGTCTCGATTAACTCAACTGGATTATGTCATATATTTGAAGGATTGTTGCAAATCTTGTTCCGTCTGTAAAATCGCTGTAGTGTTACTCTAGCCATTTTTCTAGCATAACTTGACTAACATTGCCGTGGTCTCATCCTTCTGTGATGGGTAATGATAACATTTGAAAAAGAAAAGGCACACAAGTGAGTACAGCCATTGTTCTGTATCCCCAGATGTCTGAAATTGTTGAATTGGCTGAGCTCACAAGGCGTTATTGACTTATCTCGGATCAGTGGCCTCTGCCGCAAATATTATGAAATGAAAACTAATCTCTCAAACCCCTTGAAGTTTTTTCTTAAAGAGCAAGATTCCCTCTTCCCTCTGGAATGGACAAAAGCCTGAAAGACAAGGTGCCTCTTACTCACTGTATTGAGGTTATGACTCCAATAAGTGTGAAAACAGAACATTCTCATACTATGCCAACACTGGAATTGCCACAGTTCTGTTTTTATTTAATGTATAACCAGCACAAATTGCTGTAAAAATACAGTGTATAATTTCTAGTAGTTGAGTAAAAACTAAGTGAAATTAGGGTAATATCATGGAAAAACATAGAAGTATATGTACGATGCAACCCATTGGGGACCACAGTCGAGCAAAATAAATGCACAGTACTATAATAATAAATAACATCACTTTATTAACCCTTTACAATTTCTTGCGTTAGGAATGATCTTTTCACATACCCCAGCTTGCTCTTCATGAGACACACAGATAGGGAGAGAGCCTGGTGATCACGGGATATGATCATGATCATATGATCACCCTATATGATCGTGGGAGGAACACATTTACAAGGCATTAGGCAGTTTGCATTCATCCAGATGCCTTTCTTTCACCGGTTGTAGTGGGCTGACTGGGTCTCTATGCCAGAAGGGTTAAGTGGTGGCCTGTATTGGTGTTCCTGTTTGATTCTCTCTCAGGTTTTGAAAAGAGCAGATCGGTCAGCCCTGGGTTTAGAATACCCCTAATTTAGCGCCAGTGCCAGCTCTGTTCCTTTTCACCAGCGGTCGCTCGACAGGAGCCGTTGTTCTCTGGGGGTCTGTGTGTCGGTCCGCCTTTCCACTCCAGCGAAGCAGGAAGGGGAGATTGTGTACCTTCCGGGGCACCCTGTTGCTGCACAGCTTCATGCGTCTTTGCTGTTGGTTCTCCACTGAGAAGATCTCTGTTGTCAGCATGGCTTTTTCTAGTACTAGGTAATTATTACCAGGAAGCAGATTAAATTGCCAAAGTAGAAGGGCTCCTAAAAATACAACCGTTATCGTATTCTTGTAAATTTGTTTAAGTTAAGTGAGAGTGACTGCTAATTTTATTATTCTAAATCGGCTGTATAACATTAAAGTCTCATAGACTGTGCTGTGGCACAGGGCTGTCTCCTCTCATCCACTGCCAAAATAGCATTCAATAAAAACAACGCCCAGCTTCTTTGTGGCATTATGAGTCATTTTTCTTGTGTGACCTGTTGAAGTGTGTGATCTAGAAGCACACCTGTGATTCTGAGGCAGGTGGAAGTAATACTGCAGAGATCTGTGCGTACAAGAGTGAACCTTGGGACCGACCTGAGCTATTGCAGTATTTCTCAACAGATCTGGACAATAGCCTCATTTACAGATGAACACATCAGCGTGTGCTATAGACTGAAGTTAGCACATACCTGGTGTACTTTTCTATCAATGTCTCTGGGCTGTCCTGAGGAATTTTGACTTGTCCTAATGAAGCCTTGGTGCATCACATCTTGGCCTTAGAATTAAGCTTCATTTCTGATGGCTTGTTCATCATGCCAGAATACTGTGAAAGTGTAAGATCGTTATGCAGAGTATTTAAGAGATTTCAGAGTTTTCTACACAATTGTATGCAGTTCAGATGTTAGATTCTCTTTTTATTGCAATTCTTTAGCCAGGTTTTTCACCAAACATCTTCTGAGTTTCTGAATATAATGCATTACTGTAGAACAAATCATCCTTTTCTTGTCCTGTGGTCCTCTTGTTTCTCTCTGTCTCTCCCTGTATCAGACACAATCCCTGTCTGGGCTCTGTGTGATTAATTAATTTGATCAGTAATTTACATGGACATTTAAACGACAAATGTATATGCTTCAGTGAAGCACTGGGTTAAGGTGAGCTCTTATAAGTTAGGGTAAACCATCATTATCACTAACTGTCTGAATGCCAGTTTGGTATCTATGAATACCAATATCACCTTTAGGCACAGTTAGGAGGTTCTGAAGGCCTGTGCAGAGCAGCAGCTAATGTATAATATCTGCTGCTAAGAAACTGAGTTTAGCCTTAAAGATTGGAAAAATAAATGTTTATGGTCTTGAAAAAGGATTTCACAGTGGGGGAAAGTTTATTATTATTAATCCTTGAGTTATATTTCTTGGAATGATTTCACTGCTGCCTTAGAGAATGTTTGGAAGATGCTGAGTAATCTGAGACTGGGGAATTACTGAGCGTCTCTGGATCTGATTTTCCTTGAAAAAAATCGGCAGCAACACAACACAAAAACGCAAAAATACACCAACCAAGCAAGCACCCAGATTGTTGTGCTTTGAAGAAGAAAGCTTTGGACACTTTTGTGCCAAAAGATGTTATAAATAAAGGAGTTGTGTCCTAGTTGTTTGTTTTTATATTTCTGGTGGAAACTAGGGATCCGTTTCTAAAAACCCCCGAATCTTCAGTCTGTGGGAGACTTAAGGGATTGAACAGACCCCTGAGCATGGAGCTAGGAGGAGATTATAGTCAGTAATGTTAATAGTAGCAGCTGCAATGATGAGATTCCTCAGAGGTCCAGAGGTGGCAGGGGGAACAACACATTTAGTCTTGCATGGTTCCTAAGACCGTTTAGTTTTGAAAGGCCGTGCTCTTGCCAAAACAAGGCCTCTGTTGTCTGCGCTGACCTATAGTGGGGGCTCCCCCTGGCCCGAGCCCTGCTGGGACGAGCCCCCACACTCCCACAGGCGCGGAGCACTGAGGCCTGCGCTGACTGGCTCGCTCCGACACGTCTTGGGGGCGCTCCGTCTCCGAGACCCGTGTGGCAAGTGCCCTGAGCCCGGTGGGCTGTGACCCCGGCTTGTTTTGTAAACGGGAAGCAATCCCCAAAACAGAGGTGTGGCGTCGCATTCATTTCCCCTCCCCAACTGGTTGGTTGTTCCAGTTTGGATGGGCATTCAGTAAATGGTGAAGGCTTATTTGCAGATGGCGAAGTCCAAGGAGATAACATGATAGGGTTGGAGAGGGTTGGCGTCTGTAGTCCCTGGTGAACAACTGCCCGTTTTAATATTGGGAGTTCAAGTGGAATATCCTAACAAAGCTGTTTGGTGTCCAAGTCACTGCGATTCAGAAAAATCTGCTGGTGATGTGATGTACTTCTTGCTTATGTACGTTGGCAGCTGCTTCTTTCTGGGGACAGCCATTAACGAACCACTTCTGCTTCCTGCTTGCTCTGTAATGTCAAAGAGAACCCGTTGACATTGAAGGGCAAAGCACTGAAAAGGTCATGCCACATAAACTGAGAGGGAATACGGTTTATCTCGCATGTTTCTGGGGTATGTGGGTATCTGGCTGCTCTGTGAGGCCCAGGAATGGAAACCCAACAGAAAGCTGAGCGAGCTGCAGACTCTCACACATGATAAGAATCTAGACTATATCCACCAACACAGGGACACAAATAGAAATGACTCTCGTACCTATGCGTGAGAGAGTGCATCATTTAATACTGAACAGGAGGAACGTCTTTGCGCAAACGGGTGTGGGAGTCTGGAACAAGCCCAGCCAACTAGTTGAAGCCAGTACCATCGCTTCCTTTGTCAGAAACAAGCGGACGAGTCTGCTCTCGTTTGTAACCTCTCTTCCGTCTCGATCGTCCTGCCTCGTGCGCGTTGCCTTCCTGTGAGTGAATCTGCACCCACGGGAGCTTTAAGGAATGTTTCCATGCACACCCCGGAAGAGATCAAGTGGCTGTGCGCCGGGGCTCTGAGTGTCTCCCCCCCCCCTGTTGCAGGTCCGAGAGCGGAGCAGGCATGCTGACGTTGGCAAGCAAGCTGAAGCGGGAGGACGGAGTGAAGGCCGGCCGCGCCGCCAGCGGGTCATTGGACTCGGCGCACAGGGTGTCCATACGGGACCGGCTGCTGGTCAAAGGTACGAGCCCGCGCCTTGGATGTCACAGACTGCACCCTCCGTTTGATTACCCAGAACGTGATTGAAGCCCACTGGTACAAGGATGAGTTGTCTTTCCTGTTCCTTTCAGTGCCAGATATCAGTTTGCACAGTATGGGTACATTCTGATGGTGCTGTAGCTCCTGTCTGGATGTCTGCGGGTTCAAATCCCAAGTGGGACAGGGCTGGTGTAGCCTTCAGTAACATACTGTAGTTCACTGAGATTGCTTCCGTAAAATACAGAAGTAAATTGATTTGGATAAAACCGCGAGCCAATAAAATTATTATTCCATTATATTCCATGTAGTTTGTTACAGTCCAGATTTCTGAGACTGGTTATTAAATCAAGGTAACAGAATGCATTAATTGAAGGTCTCTCAAAAAATGTAGCAAATTCCAAATTATAATTGTGAACTTGGTGAAAGTACTGGATCGTCATCATTGCTGTCACAAACCCCGCTCTCCCACGGGGAAGAGTGAGAGTTCACATTAATTGCGGTGTGAAGCTGCCCTTCCTGCTCAATAGTCACAAGCAAATAAGTACAGGCTGTGCAGCAGAAATGTTCCTCCGTGATCCGCATGCAGAGTTATCAAGTATGTTGTATTTGTCCGCAAAAGCGTCTGGAAGTAGAGAGCAATATTTTTATTGGATTAAAAAATATGTCTTCACAAGCCTGCTTGTTTACAATGTTATAGGGCAGCTTCACATCACTGGAAGTTTTGTTGCCTTGTTCTGAACTGCACAACATGTGGCTGTGCGTACCTGGAAATTTAGTCTAGTTTATGATGGTGGTGAAGTTTTACATGTTACTGTGGACATTTTACTTTCATTGTGGTTTGCAGTGCACTCATCGATGCTGTTTCTCTAGAAACAACATATAAAGATAGCATTATAGTTCCCCTTCAATAACTATCACCTTCCTTTTCACTAATGTACACCTGGACCCAGAAATTCAGGGCAGTGAAAACCCTTAGCACTATCGCTAAGAGGGCCATCAGGAGCTTTTGCCATCCAAAGCATTTCAGTCTGTCTCTTATAGACTCACAGTAGAGGGAGTAGACACAAAGGGCACTTCAAATATTATTTACTTGGAGGGGCTTGCACATTTTCTTTCTCATGGAGAAGGTTTTTTTTTCTGACACTGTATAAACCTATGAATGAATTGTGACAGTGTGTAGAAGGTAAAGATGGATGATAAGTTAAGAGCAGATGGAGTGAGGTTTGGTATGTGGGTTATAATGTTGGACAGGCAGGTTGTAAACCCTGGAACTGAGCTGCTGTGGTCTGTAGGGAGAGCTTAGTTTCACCAATGATTGTCTTGTGGCTTTTTAAACAAACTAAGGATGTAGAGTTCTTGTGCTCCAAACTACTGAGGTTCATTTTTCATGGCTTTATTCCACAAACGCCTTAGCACTGTGTAGCATCCTAGCATTTAACACTGTGCGTACTGTTTTATTTCAGGTTTATTTGTTGTTTTACTGATACTTGCACTGTTTGCATCTTGACTGGATGGGATAGAACTTGCATTATATAAAGTATCTGCCAATTGAGTAAATAACAAGAAAATATCATTCCTGCATGGGGGGTCTACTTTATTCCATAAGCGGGCTTAACTGTTGTAAGGTAGTGCTGAAGAGGTAGTATCCAGCAATCACAAACCATTTCCATCCTCCACTCAATAGAGTTGTACTCTTCACATTTCCATTTCCTTCGACTGGAAAATAGGTCCATTTTTCTCAGAGAGCAGGGGGTCAGGAGAGATGTGATTGAACGGGTTTGAAAGCTGGAAATATTTTGATAAAGTAAAGGCCAGAACTCGGAAACAGCGACACAAAGGCCAGAGCTGAGCTGGATCAGGGCAGTGAATCGGCGAATATGGGGTCAGGTAGAAGCCTAGCTAGAGAGCAAGTGCTGAATAAGAAGTTGTTTTTAACAGGGCCTTAAAATTAGTTCTGGTCTCTTTCTTTTTCAGTGTGACTTGTGATTATTCCTCATCTGCTTTGTCCCCCACATCACTTCAAAGTAGATTGAATTGAATTAATAAAGCATGCGTATTTGTGTGTGAGCCAGATAGGACTGGCTTTCTGCATTAGTATGAGTATGTTGTTGTGCTGAATATTTAATACATGTTAATATTTGTTGTTTGTGGCCTATGTTAAAAAAAAACAGGGAGACTCGACAAACCAGTCACATTTTTATTTATGGACTGAAATATAATCCTCCCCATATCATGGAACTCTTAATTGTTTTTTTAATGTCTTAATTGCAACTCCAGTAACATCAGCCTGGACAGAGCTTCAGACTGGACTGGGAGCTGACACTGGCTATAAGGCTTTACCTGTAGAGCTGCTGACTCTTTTCATTTGTTCTCATTTTAGATTGCATCAGAATGTAAGAATAGGTCCAGTGGGAAGGAGATCATGCAGCCCATCTACTGTAGCTAATCTGGTAATTAGTAGCTTGTTGATCCAAGGGTCTCGCCCAGCTGTTTCCTGAAGGAAGCCAGAGCACCCAGCATCATGGCTGGGCAGCTTCTTCTGCTCTCCCCCAACTCTGTTAGGAATTTTAAATGCACATCCACATACTTTCCACTGTTCATTGTGAAGTCATTGCAGGATAGAGACTTTGTCTGTGTCTTTGAGGATTCTGAATACTTGAATGAGGTATACCTGTTGTTTTGTTTTAGTTTAGTTTGGGTTTAGTTCCTTCAGCCTGTCCGTATAGGACATTCCCTTAAGAAGCAGAATATATCTGGTTGCTCTGCTCTGCACTGATTTCCATAGCATTGTTGTATTTTGTATAATCTGTTGACCAAAATTGTACAAAATATTGTAATTGTGGCCTTCCCAGTGCATTTAACTTACTATGTTAAAGCATACTACATTTGAATACCCCCTTGATTTGAATTCTACACTTTTGACTTTACACCCTCATATTTTGTTGGCCTTTTTTATTGCTTCCCCACATTCAGAAAATTAATTCCCCACTTTACAAAACGCACAGAAGGTGGGCTATTCATGTTAGATTTGCTTCTGCACGGTTCGGTTTAATTCCAGGCAGATTTTTTAATCATTTTAACAAATAACTGTGTTCTCAATTTCCTGGAAGAAAACTGGGTCAGCTTTACAATTGAGCCATGTTTTGCAGCACGGGGGGAGGCTGTTTTGAAATCTGAACAGTATTTAAAGAAAGCAAACTGACGTGTATAAGCTTAGTTGTTTCTCTGTTAATTCACAAATGGATCCTTCCTTGCCTTTCCTATGAGCTTCCTTCCTCTTTGTACTTTTTTTATCATCCCAGCACATTGCAGTTCACTGAAAGGCATTTTCACTGCTAGAGCTCATCCTGCTTTTTAGGGCTGAATTCTCTCCTTGCTGATGCCTGCTAACAGCGAGGGGCACCACACCCAGTTTAGATTACAGTTTCCAATATTCACAGTCACTGTAGGCCTTGTGCAGAGAAGGCTGGGAGTTTTGAAGAAGGAACTGCAGTCCCAATTTCTCAGACTGGTTCTTAAATCTCGGTCACGAAATTAATTGACAGTATAGAAAATTGTATCATTTTCTAATTAAGCACAAAATCATGAACTTGGCAAAAATACTGTAAACCATCTCAAAGCGCTGGTCACGCCACGGGCGAGAGTTCCCACAGATTGTGATGTGATACGGCCCTTCCTGCTTACCAGTCACTGTACTGACTGATGTAATCTGATGCATGAGCGAATGAGTACAGGTTGTGCAGCAGACATTCGACTGCAAACGTGTTCCAACGTGATCTGCATGCAGTGTTAACAAGTAAGTTCCATTTATCAGAAAAAAAACGCGTCGAAGCCAAGAGCAATATTTCTCTCGTATTAAAAAAAGATGTCTTCACAAGTCCGCTTCTTTACAAAGTGGTAGGGCCGCTTCGTGTCCCTGGAAGTTTTGTTGCCTCTTTCTGAATCGGAGAAGTTAGCGCAGTGCCCACCTGGAATTTTGATCTATTTTGTGATGTCAATTGGAGGTTTTCCAAGTTACTGTATGCATTTGACTTTTACTGTGATTTGAAATGCAATCGTCAATGCTGATTCTTTCTAACCCCGAAATATAAAAAAAGCATTGCAGTTCCCCTTCAAGGGCAGTGGCGATGCACAGGCTGCACAAGTCGCAGGTGTTCAGTGGGCCTCCCCACGGCTTGCGGTAGCCCTGTTTACCTGTAATGTCACAGAACCAGATTCGCTGGTTGCGGTTTCCCTGCGCTGTTGCTCTGGTGCTGGGGATCAGTGGCACTGCACCATGGGAAGTGATTTCCTTCGGCTTCGGAAGACCAGACCCCTGGGGTAAGCTTCCCCTGGGCCAAAAGTGTGTGTGTGTGTGGGGGGGGAACACCTTCAGTTTTCAAGGTGGGTGTTTGACCGTGATTGTAGTCATTCCGTGTCCTTCAAGACATCTCCTTAGCTTTGTTTGAGTTTTTTTTTGCTCTTTTTGTTGTTGGCGGCTCTTGGATCTTTAAAAGCAGCTCTGTTCCTTGTCACTGACATGCTCGTGGAGCAGCTGAGACTGTTGCAGTGGGACGGGGGCATCTGTGATGTACCCGCTCTTCTGGAGCTGCGGCATATTAGCATTTCAGAAGAAAGCCAGTGTTTCTGGGCGGCCGGGGAATAAATCAACAAGCCTTTCCCGAGAGGGGGTGGTGATCTAGAAGCATTTCAACCCTGAGTCGGTTGAGGTTTTTCTGAATTTGAAGGTGTTTTTTTGACAGTTACTGAAGCCTTAGAAGGGGTTTTTGTTGAGTTTCAAAGCTTAAGTTGTGGAGAAATGGCAGCAAGTGAGGAAACACTGGTCAGTGGAGCTTCCTTTCAGTTCTGCTTTGTAAAACAGTGCTCATTGTCTCCAGTACCTCAGTTACCGTCCACATCAGTCACCTCCCAATAATCGGGGAAGCTCCTTATGGCTCTGAAACCATATGAGAAGATACCCGTAGAAGTTGTCTACCTTCACCA